TACATTTAAAACCTCAAATAGTACTTATAAGCTTATAATTAAAAACTGACCTTCCTTGTTTCATTCTATCTAATTTTTATTTTCCCAAGGCTGCCACTTTTAATTCTTTAGCTTTTTCATCAGACATTTACCTCTGTATTTCTAAATAATAGGCCTTTCCTGCTATTTCTTGATTTTTCAAAAACTCTCACATACGTGCGTGCACACATACACATACACATACACACAAAATTAGTTCCTTTTCTTTCATTTTCTTGAATAGTTGTATCACACTTTCTGGTTAGACCATTTCATTGTTTTATTATTGTGATTGTGTACATATTCACATCTGTCATATATACTATATTGTCACATTTCCATTCTTTTACATTTATTTCCCTTAAGATAATTGCTACATTTGCTTTGATTTTTCTGTAACCATCACTATTCATTCCAAAACTCTTAACAGAACTGAAAATTGTTTTCCAGTATTGAATAGTTTTTATTGAGTTCTTGGGGGCTCTTGTGAGTCCTCTTCTGCTCCACCTTGGCGTGTCTGCCCTCCAAGCCTTTGTGCAGTTGAAGTCTTGTATCTTTGTCCATTGTGATGCACAGCTTTACCTTAGCTAGCTGCCTGGGTTGGATTCCCTGATTCAGGTCTCTCGTATCTTCTTATTTTGGTTGACTCTTGTGTTTTTGGAATACATTCTTCAGTAGTTGTCTGAGAAAGGGCGTTTTGGATGCAAAATTTCAGATTTGTCATATCTCTATGTCTTTATCCTACTTTCACAGTTGATTAATGCTTTGGCTGAGTATAAAATTCTAGAGGGGAGTAATTTTCTTTCAGAAATTGAATTCATTGATCCACTGTTTTTTAGTTAAGAGTGTTGCTCTTGGGAACCCCAGTTTACTTCGGTTTTGAATTTTTATTGTATAATCCTTTTCAACCCCTCCCACAAACCTTTGAACCTCTGAATAAAATCCCTCTAACCACCTAGCCTTTGTTCTGTTCTTCCCCAAAGTTTTCGGCCTGTCTTTTGTGTTTTCTTTTCTTGCACAGAATATTTATTTCTAGTTTATCTTTACACCAGTGATGCA